TTTTTTTTTAGTTTTGGATAGAGTAAGGGGGGATTATAACTCCTGTCAGCTATTATATACCATTGGGGAGATTTCCTTTCATTTCCTGGTTGTAAGCCACAACAGAAAGTGAGAGGAAATTCCTGCTGGTCAGCAGAGACAATAGAACGAGTGTCATCCTTGAAAGATTTCCCATATATTTCTGTTTTGATAACAAACCAAATTTGTGTGTGTGTGTGTCTGGGGGGGTGATTGGGATTGGTGACAACAGGATTAATAGAGTGAAAACCTGGCAAGTGTACTAATTTCTCTACACTCCATTCAAAACTAAAAAAAAAAAAAAAAGTTTGCCTTCAGTTTCATTTGTACTTGTCTAAAGATTATTCTACGGAATATTAAAGTTGAATTATATAACTCTACTTTGTGTGCACCAAAGGTATTTGCAAACTCAGTTATTACCTTGTACAAAGAGCCTTGACCACATTGCCATGACCACACAGCCTTAAATACAGGACCAGCCAGCCTGCACAATCTTTTGAATTATCTTCCTGTCTGGGTTCAGGCTCTCCCAATCAGATGGCCACCTGTCCAGCAGTAAATCTGGTCAGTTACTAAAGCACAAATTGCTGTTTACCTAGAAGTAGGCTGGAATTTAGGCACATTTTGCTTTTTCTCCATCTTCTGTTTGTGGTTCTCTCTCCTGCTACTGCTCACCTGTTTAGATTTCCCTGTTCTTTTCTACGCTGTCATGGCTGTGCTCCACGTGTCTGTCTCCCCGGCCATGGCATCTGTTGTCACAGCTGGAGGAGTAGCGTAGTGTTGGCTCGATGAATTGTGGTGTTGCACGGTGATGCAGAGAGTGAGAGACACAAGATACTGAATAACTCAGGATACACAGGAACACAAGGGAACAACTTACAGAACTGCAGTTCAGAATGCACACCACAGGCTGAGTCACAGAGGAAGCAAGACAATAGGGGAATGTAGACACACAGGAGTGTGTAAACACAAAAGTAGTGGATGCAAATAGTACAGACAACTCGCAGCATACAGGTGTAAGTGATAAGGGACTCGCGCAATATCCACAGGGTCACACAGGGAACTCAGAGCAAACAGGAATGCAGAGAAGAACAAAGTAGGGAATACAGCCAAACAGGGAAATCCTCAGGGGTACACAGGAAGCCAGGGGAAACTAGAAAGCATGTGGATCCAAGAAAGCACAGGGAAGCCAGGAAGCACAAGGATGCAAGGAATCGCAGGATATCTCAGGAAACACAGAGAAGAATCACTAGGAACACATGGATCACTAGGAACACAGAGCAGTCCAACAGCTAGGTAGAAGACATGTTGCTCAAACCCAGTGCAATAGGTGATCTAGCACTAAATAGAACAGATGGAGACCAGATTGTTTGCCACCCTGCGACCTGCAATAGGCTGGCAGCCAAGCACCTAACAAAGAGGGGAAAATCTGGCACGGAAACAGGAGTCAGTGTGACAGCATCAGGAAAGATCAGGCCTGTTCTAGACCTGAAATATCTCAATACCTTTATTAGAATTCCATTTTTCATAATGGAGTCCCTAAAAACCAACTTGTCTCCATCCTGCACTCCATCCACACAATGGTAAGATGAAGTCGTGATAAAAACTCTGCTTTATTCTTTAGTATACTGTATGTATTATAAATGATCTCACTATGTGCTTCGTTATATGGTGTGTCTAATTTTAATATAACTTTTCAGTTTCAGGATTTGGGACTCCCCTACTTTTAGCCCTAGCACCAGCACATCATATCCCCCCCCCAAAAAAAAACTGGAGCTACCCCTATTTCAAAATAAAGGATTTCTCCTCCTGGACAACTGTTAATGTAACAGGTGCCCCGATTGCAGGATTTCATCACTATTCCTGTTCCAGTGGCAGTTCAATCGTTTGGATTTCCCCTCACTTTCTGTAGGAATGTTACAGACTATTGGTAATACTGGCCTGCATGATGCAGTACCATAAGGTGTACTGAGCAAAACATAGTTAAAGGAGAACTATGAGGTGAGTGATTTTCGTCATAGTTCGAGCTGACGTGTGACAATGAAACTGTCACACGTCGGCTCTATAGATCGGGAAGTGAGAAAACGCATACCGATGCTCGCTCACTTTCCGATCATCTCTCTGCAGAGACTGGTGACTGTCAGTCAACGCCCCCCGCAGGGATTCCCCTCTCCGATCCTTCAGCGCTGACTGGAGAAACGGACGGGGTGGCCACATCTGGCTCTGCCTCTAGATAGGCAGAGCCCGCTTTCACTCGCAGCTGTGTGGATCTCGACAGTATTGGTGGGATTTGTCCCGGCTGCGGCACTCTCAGTATATAGTGAGCAATAGCCCGCTATATACTGAGCTTTGGGTAACAGGAGGACTCTAGTATATGTCCTCCCGTGACCCTTTAGAACTAGGAGAGAACTATGGGATAAAAAGGTTACCCCTTAGTTCTCTTTTAATTCTATATATGTATACATAAAGTATGTATTTTTTGGTAATGACATTTACATTCAATTTAGTAAAGAGTTTTACATTAACATTATATGCATTAAGACTTTATTTCCCCACTTTTCCAATAAAAACCTACATGTGGATTAAGGAGGAGTCACAAAGAGTGGTAATGTGTCTTAAACACATGTAAGGTGCATGTAAAAGCTCAGTGTAAGGCCCCGTTCACACTTAGCGATTTATCGTGCGGTAATTCCCGCGATATCACTGCAATTTACCGCGCGATAACGCTCTCCAATGCTTCACAATAGGGCAAAGGGTCCTGCTGTCGCGGGTCGTGCGTCGCTACAGCAGGACCCTTTTTGGAGCGGATTTAGCCACGATTCAAGCTTGCTCAATGCAAGCATTTGCGCGATATCACGCAAAATGCAAATCGTGTGACAAACACGCGATTTGCGAATCGCGCAGTGTGAATGGGGCCTAAATGCAATGCAAAATGCAGATGTGACCTATCTGGCTTCAATAACTAGACCTGATGGACTGTATCTATATTCTTAATATAAAATGACTACAGTACTTGACTTTTATCATAGATACAGGAATTGCATGCCAGTCATTTACCTAAACAACATAATTAACACCTGAAAGCTGACTGATATACTCAAGTAAAATAGACGTGATTGAAGTGTGAGTGAATGATATTTTAAAAAGGAAATAACGCTGAAATCTCCATGACACATAATAGCAAATGATAAAGTAGTATTTCAGCTGATGCGTTTACTATATTTTTTTCCCTAATCAGAAATAAATCACAAATAATTCTGCAGAACATCAAATTGAACATTGTATGCTCCTATTCATGCTCATGTTATCATCAAATTAAATATAGTTTTCAAAATAAACCATGATATTCTGTGACAGTTTTCTGCCCCCTATAAATGACTGCAGATCTTATTTTTCCTCTCTGATTACATTCATTAGGTTCTATCAATCTTAGTTTGTATGGATCAGGAATGTCAAACTAATTTAGCAGATTGCCAAGTTAATTAGGACATAAGTGGCCAGGTTAGTTCTATGGAGGATCACACTTTTTAAAAATGATACAGTACTCAGGGGAGTATCAGCCAAGGCATATCCTATAGTGTTTGTAAAATACGAATACAGGAAGTAAAATTGAATTTTAGTTCCCCCTTTAGTCTCTAGTTAATATAGAGATGTCAAGGTCAAAATAAAAATAATATTCAAAAGTTTAGGTGGGTATAGAATGTGAAATTAAAATGTTAGAAAAGCAAATACATTTTAAATCTGGTTTTGTAGAGGATGGTAAAATTTCATTGTAATGTCACTATGGGCGGGCAGTGGTATAAATATGGTGGCAACAGCTGGGGCATGCCCAGTAGGCAGTAGACACTAAGACTGGGTTCACACCTAGGCGTATCTAATAT